TTCTCACACGTCACAACCATTCCCTTTCAAAATTTAATAAAATAAAAACAAAAGGCCGAAAAACTTGGTCCTGCTTAAAAAACGTGGGTACGAATTCAACTCTTTTTTATAAGACTTGGAGCTGGTTTGATATTGATGTAATTTTGAAAAAAAACAGTTTTTATTGTGCTGTGAAAATAAGCTCATTTTTGCTGTTTCACATTTTCAACTTTTTTTCATCTAAAACTGTGAAAATAAGTTGTTTTTAAGTGTTTACCAAACACATTTTTGAGCTCAATGTTTTTTACATCCATTTTTTATAAAAGCACCTCAATATCAAACAAGTACTTGGTCTAACTATGTTTATCTACAGAATATATTGGGCCTAATCAAAAGAGACCAAGAAATATGGACCTTGTAATTGCTGAGCCCATTTACACTGAAACTCTCACTCACGCTGGCCCAATATGTAGGCCCTGTTTAAGCCCAATATTTATATTTGGTTTGATTTTGGGTCTCAAGAACAACCCGTTGCTAGTTGATTGGGTTTTTATCATAATTGGTCTATGAAATTGACTCTCACCATCAAGATGGTCTCTGAAATTAAAAATCAATCAATGTAGTCCTTGAAAATAGGTGTCGCAAATCAATGTGATCCTTCTATCACAATTATGTTAAAATTCTGTTAAGTGCTGATGTGGCACATAAGGCTCCACAAGATTTACGGATTTTTATCACGAATGATTCCTGAAATTGACCAACACCATCAAAGTGATCCCTGAAATTAACCCACACTATCAATATGGTCCCTGAAATTAAAAATCAATCAATATAGTCATCAAAAACAGGTATTGCATATCAATATGATCCTTCCGCCACTATTATATAAAAAAATTTGTTATGTGCTGATGTGAGTTTAATAATTAATTAAAAAATTGTCTAAATACCTTTTTGCACAATGGAATTTTTTTTTTCTTATAGTAGGGCATAATCCGAAGAGAGATTCATTCCATAAATTCTCAAATGCACAAGGTTTAACCAAAGCCTAAGAGGGGGTGTGGAAATATTTTTCAACCAACAATAGACGCACCTCGGTTATAACCTCATTTTCTTAAGACAAACATCGTCGTTCTTTGCATCACCAAACTACTAGGGAATCGCCGAACAAGCTCCCTAAGATTAAGGTTGTGAGGATGTTGATCGCCTAAATGTTAACGGTGATATCATAGAAGTCGTTGCCAATGGGCCAAGCCATCACCAAAGGTGATCTTGATCCAAGTTCAATTCGGTGAAGGGTGTCGAAGTGTGTAAAGATGCGTGTATTGGTAATTTTTTTTTTTTTAGAGAATAGAGCGAATGAGGTAGAGAAATGTGGACTGGGATCGGAGGTGATTGCAAGACTGGGTTTTTGGGTTGACAATTTTTGTATTAACTATTAACGTATTAAGCCTATTTGTAATTTTTTAAATTTAATTAAACTTGTGTGACCCATTTATGTGTCACATCAGCACATGACAAAAATTTTGACAGAATTATGACGGAATGACTACATTGATCAATTTTCAATTTCAGGGATCATTTTGATGTCGCAGGTCAATTTCAGAGCCAATTTTGATATCGTGAGTCAATTTCAATGACCATTTGTGAGTGAAAAAAGGACTTATGGGACCCAATTATGTGTCACATCAGCACTTAACAGAATTTTTAACATAATTGTAATAGAATGACCACATTTATTTGCGACGCTTATTTTCAAGGACCACATTTATTGATTTTCAATTTCAGGGACCATCTTGATGGTGATGGTCAATTTCAGGAATCATTTGTGATAAAAACCCAAGTTTATTTTCAGGTAAAAAATCGACCACTTGTTTAATAGGTGGGTTGAGTTGAGTTGAAGTATTATTAGCTGACAAAAACTGATATGTTTGAATATTAATAATTCTTAAACGTACATGTATATTATATAGACATATACATAAAGCCTATTAGTTATTAAACACATCTGTTAACGAAATTTAAATATTAATTAACAAATAGTGATTTTACAACGCCAAACTCACATGATTTAAGCCTAATATGACATATATTTTGCATTACTCGTCGCTCATATTCATTTAGGAATAATTAAAAAAGTAAATAATCTCGACCTTGCAAATTGCCCAACCCAATCCGCCTTAGAATGGTTTGGGTGGGTTGGGTTTGCCCATTTTTGTGAAAATGTGTTTTAATAATGCCAACACCAACCTACTAGGTTCGCCAACAAATTGAAGTTCAACCAACTAAACCACCCAATGCCCACCTTAATAACCAGTTCAATGTTAACATCATGATCAAATTGGTCCGTCTTAAGCCGTACATTATAGCATAACCTAACCAACAAATTCAAATATGCACTCGTTTGGGTAGATTATCTTCATCCATAAGCATTTAAGTAGATTGTATAGGCTACTCAGTACTATAGTCTAATGATATTTTTCTTCACTTATAAGTTAGAGGTTTTAGGTTCAATTCTCGTAAAAGGCAAATTTGAACCACATTATTGCTAGCTCATTGTGAGGCTAAGCCCACCCCCTCCCCCTTAATGTAGATAATATCGTTTGTTAAAAAAAAAAAATCTATAGAATTTTACACTTTTTTAAGGCTAAATTGGATTAATGGTCCTCGTGGTGAAAAAATTTGGATTTAAACCTCCGTGGTGAACTCTGTTAGGATTTAAGCCCAAAATTAACATCTTCCTCATCTATCTATTAACCCATTCAACCTTCATAACTAAAAGAGAAAAAAACTTATTCATCCAAGGCTATGAATTCGTTGATCCATGCTTCGATTCCATTCAAAGATTTTTTGTCCATTAATCAGTGAATTCCCTAAATATGCCCATTTGAGAAAAAATGAATTCAAAGAAGATCATTCAGTTGTCAGTTTACAGAAGGATTGTGATTCTCTGCTCGCAAAAAACAAAACGAAAATGAATATTACAATTATAAACAATAGGAGGAGAAAATTGGCGATGAAAATCCAAAATACGTAGTGGTATTCATTTACAGGGAAATGGGTTTCTTCTATTGGATGCGTCTATGGAGATTGAAGAAAAGATCTTTGAATGGGCATATTACTGATTAATGGACAAAAAATCTTTGAATGGAATCGAAGCACGGATTACAGGTAAAGCTAATGAAGGAGACTCCAGTTGTTGAAGGTAAGGCGAGCACAGCACCTGAACCTGCTCCTGCAGAAATCTGATGTATCCCATCGCTTCGTGAAACACTGATGCCGTGTCCGTCTGCAACACACCCAATTTTCCAAGTTCCCAGAAGAAGAAAAAAATCAGATATTTTTGATGAATTTGCAAAAATATTGTCAAAAAATAATTAACTGGGTGGCTTGATTTGAGTTTTTGCAATTCCACCTTGCCGTAGGGTGAAACGAGCTACTGTAGTGCTGTGATTTGTTCTCCGAGCTTCTCTTTCCTCTATACATTTGTAGAAAACCAGAACCCATTTGGTAAAAAGAGAGACGAAAATTGTTCTGCTTTGCAGAAATGGCAAAGAGAGAGTGCGAGAGAGAGAGAGAGAGAGAGAGAGAAGAGAGAGAGAGAGAAGAGCATGTAGAGGGTGTGAGTTGTGGAGAGAGAGAGAGAGAGAGAGAAAGAGAAAGAGAGTAGCATGCAATGACGCAGGTGAACTTATGGGGTTTTTTTTTTGTTGAAAGGTTGTACCTTTCCGTTGCCGGCCGACGTGCGATTCTCTGATTTTGTCTTTTTAGCCAATCATTTTTTTCTCAAATGGGCATATTTAGGGATTTCATTGATTAATGGACAAAAGATCTTTGAATGGAATCGAAGCATGGATCAACGAATTCATAGCCCTGGATGAATGAGTTTTTTTCTCTTTTGGTTATGAAGGTTGAATGGGTTAACAGACAGATAAGGAATATGTTAATTTTGGGCTTAAATTCTAATGGAATTCACCATAAGGGTTTAAATCCGAATTTTTCACCACATGGGCTATCTTTCGATTACCCTCTCACCACGGGGACCATTAATCCAATTTAGCCTTTTTTTTAATAAAATCGACATTCTATATTAATCTACATTAAATAAGAGAGACAAGATTTGAACTCAGCAATAGTCAGAGGTCTAGTAGTATTCCTCTTTACTTGTAAGTGAGATGCTCGATTTTTGCCAAAGGCGAAGTAGAACCACATAATTATGGGGCAAACTCATTGTAAGTCTTAACCCACTCCCACATCCTCTCAGTATAGATACCATTGTTTGTTCAAAAAAAAAAAAAGAAAAAAAAAAGAACTTTCATGCCATAAATTAAATAATAGTTGAGAATACTAATTATCCGTAACCGTGATAAAATTATGATCATATCTCAAATTCCAATGATTTACGATTTTATTTTTCAATGTTAACTTAATAACGTTGCAATTTAGTGATATTTAATTGACACAACATAACAAGTGAGACGTTATAAGTGATTCATTGCTCTAGTGTTTAAAAATATAGCATTTAAAAAAAATCAGGCGAAAGGTTACAACATATATACACAGTACACCTGCGGCGGAGGGCGGACGAAACGACATCAGATTAAAAAAATATTTAGGAAAAAAACAGAGGGAGACTGGTTGGTTGTAATCGTTGTCGTCACTGCTACGCACCGTCGCTGGCACTCTCCCTCTCTGTCTCCTCCTCCTGCTCCTCCTCTTCCTCCATCTCGTTTATAGCTACGAAATCCCTTTCCCAAATCCATCTCTTTAAATTAAATTAATTGCAAATTCCCACTTTCGTAATCGTTCTTCAACAAAGTTACCGCCCAAATTTCCCACCTTTCCAATCACACAAACTCTCCAATTCCTTTTCCAATTCGGCTTCCAAATCCCTAGGATTTCAAATTTTTCCTTTTTATGAATTACGAATTGTTGTGACATTCGGCGATTTGATCGTACTCGGAATGATACTTTCCTTGCACAATCGGCGATAGCTAGAGTTGGGCGATTGGCGTATATATTAAATGGCAAGCACCGGCGACGAGGACAACGATGCGGTGCTCAGTGACGTGGAGGGCGACGATCCCGTGCCGATCGTGATCAAGACTCCGTCGTCGGACGAAATTTCCCCCGAGCGGTTTCGCGAGCTGATCGCCGAGCTGGATCGCGAGCGGCAAGCTCGGGAGGCGGTGGAGAATTCGAAGTCGGATTTGCAGGCTCAGTTCAATCGGCTGAAGGCTCTGGCGCACGAGGCTATAAAGAAGCGGGACGAGTGGGGGAGGCAGAGGGACGAGGCGTTGCGTGAAAAGGAAGAAGCTTGTAAAACCAACGAGAAGGTCACGGCGGAGCTGGCGGAGTCGAATAGGGCCAGAGAGGAGGCGTTGCAGCAGAGGGAGGAGATTGGGAAACAGTTGGAGGAGGCGGTGAAGGAGAGGGACGGTTTGAGGGCTGAGATTGGGAATTCGACTCATATGCTCATGTCTGGAATGGACAAGATATCGGGGAAAGTTAGCAATTTCAAGAATTTTGGAGGCGGGGGATTGCCAAGGTCGCGCAAGTACACGGGATTGCCCGTGGTTGCCTATGGAGTGATTAAGCGGGCGAATGAGATCGTGGAAGAGCTTGTGAGGCAGATTGATACTACGGTGAAGTCTAGGAACGAAACGAGAGAGCAGATGGATCAGAGAAATTATGAAATTGCAATTGAAATTTCTCAGCTGGAAGCCACGATTGGCAGTTTGAGAGAAGAAGTAGCGAAGAAGACATCTGCAGTTGAGAATTTGGAGAAGAGCATTGCAGAAAAGAGTGGGAAAGTGTCGGATATTGAGAGGGAGATGGAGGATAAGTTGAGTAAGGCTGAGAGTGAGGTTTCACAGTTGAAGCAGTTAGTTGGAGAGTATGATGATAAGTTGACGGATTTGGACTCGAAAACAGAAGCACAGAGGGGTTTACTTTTTGATCAGTTGAATTTGGTTTCGAAGATTCATGACCGGCTATATAATATTATCAAAATCGTTGATGCCAATAATTTGGATCAGTCAGAGTTTTCAGAGTCCCTGTTCGTCCCTCAAGAAACGGACATGGAGGAGAACATACGTGCAACTCTGGCTGGGATGGAATCCATTTATGAATTAACCAGGGTTGTTGTTGAGAAGACAAGGGATTTGTCTGAGGAAAAGAATCGTGAGATTAAGAGTTTGGATGAAACAGTGAATCGGTTAGTTAACGAGAAAGAACAAATTGGATCGTTACTGAGGAGCGCATTGTCAAAGCGGATCACATCCAGTCCATCTTCTAAGACAAATGAATTGTTTCAAGTTGCAGAAAATGGTTTAAGAGAGGCAGGAATAGATTTCAAGTTTAGTAAGCATGCTGGGAATGGAAATGTGGATATTGAGTCGGAGGAAGATGAAATATACGAATTAGTAAGTAACCCTTACTGTTAATCTGTGATGAGTTGTTTTGAATTCGATTTGGTTTCAAACCCAATTTTCATTGCTGATATAATTGGCATATCATATACAGGCTGGGGCTTTGGAGAACATTGTTAAGGCAGCTCAGCTTGAAATCATTGACCTGCAGCATTCTGCGGAAGAATTAAGGTACACTTTTGTGCCCAAAATTATTTAAACTTCAAATCAATTTTGATGTTTGCCATATGCACCTTAACTTGAAGTTTCGTTTGTACTAATGAAATACTTTTGCTTTTATACTGTTAACTTTGTCCTGACATGGTATTGTGATGTTACATTTACTGTTTGCCGTATTAAGGGCAGAGTTGAGTTTACTCAAACAGCATGTGGAGGCTCAAGCTAAGGAGCTCGACCACAGAATGCATAGAATTGGGGAACTTGAAGAGAAGGAGAGGGTAGCAAATGAAAGCGTATGTTATTTGTGTTCTATTTACATTTCAGTGATCTATTGCAGCACTTACTTTTCATGATCCAATTGGAGGACTCATGTAAAACCATTCTGCATGTAGGTTGAAGGGCTAATGATGGACATTGCTGCTGCTGAAGAAGAAATTGCAAGATGGAAAGCGGCAGCAGAGCAAGAAGCTGCTGCAGGCACAGGTGTAGAACAAGAATTTGTGGCACAGGTAATCTTGCAAGTTTGGCATGATATCATTTTCTTCGCTTGGTTACCCAGTTGTTTGCATTCAAATGATATATATCTCAGTGGAAGAAATAAATATTTAGGGCCTGAGCTGATATAATTGTATAAAGCAGATAGATTTGTCCCACAGTTCTTTTCAGGAGTAAAGGGAGTGTGGTGGCATTTTGCTGAGTTATAGGTCCAAATTGTTACCATGTCTAGCTGCGTCCTGATTGTGAAGGGAAATATAGGACCATATCGTAAAGGAACAGATACTTGTGACAGGATAAAGTATCTAGTTACCAATATCATTACAATTCATAATCTTCAAACTACAATCATTTCAATATTTAACTGATTCAAACACCTAAAGTGGCCTGGAATTTTTCGTATTATAACAAAACATTTGGAATCCATATATTCTTCTCTTTCTTCCCATACAAACAAAGACTTATGTTTCGGTAATATCCATTCAAGATCGCTACAAAGCATTGGGTTTTAACTAAAGTTTGTAAGTTTGAAATCTCACACTCCAAATGGACCCAAAGTTTTATTGTAACAATCAGGGCTTGATAGTTTGCAGAAAAAGGTTAACGAAGTTCATTTCGTATTTACATATTCCATCTTCATTGTTCAACTAGCATGTTCATAATGACTCTGGTTGGAACCTGCAGTTGTCGACGCTTAAGCAGGAACTTGAAGAGGCAAAGCAGGCTATTGCGGAATCAGAGAAGAAACTCAAGTTCAAAGAAGAGACAGCTGATGCTGCCATGGCAGCTAGAGATGCTGCTGAGAAATCATTGAAATTGGCTGACTTGAGGGCAACCAGGCTCCGGGATAGATTAGAGGAGCTTACACGTCAGCTTGAAGAAATTGAAAATCGGGAAGACACGAGAAGGGGACTGGGTGGACCTAGATATGTATGCTGGCCGTGGCAGTGGCTTGGGCTGGACTTTGTAGGTGTCAGTCGCACCGACACACAACAAGAGAGTAGTTCAAATGAAATGGAGCTCTCTGAACCTCTTCTATGATTCACACCTTTTTTTTTCTTTTCCCTTTTCTTTATAGTTTTATTTTGTGTATTTATTGTGATATTTCAAAATTAGAACAGTAAAAAAATGGCTTCTTTTAACTCTCTACCTCTTCAATGCCCTCTTATTTGCAGTGGACATGTAATTGCTTGTTTTCGCAAAGTAGCTACTTAAGACGCAAGGTAACCTTTCGTATTCATGCTTCTTTGGGGGGAGGTTTCTATAATTTTCTCACCGTGATGTAGTTTTCAGTTGAAAATTTTCTTTTCTTTTCTTTATGTATCCCTGCTAACTTACATTATTCATACCAAGGCGACTCAAGTTCAAATACAACAACAACAACAACAACAAAGCCTTTTCCCACTAAGTGGGGTCGGCTATATGAATCCTAGAACGCCATTGCGCTCGGTTTTGTGTCATGTCCTCCGTTAGATCCAAGTACTCTAAGTCTTTTCTTAGGGTCTCTTCCAAAGTTTTCCTAGGTCTTCCTCTACCCCTTCGGCCCTGAACCTCTGTTCCGTGGTCACATCTTCGAACCGGAGCGTCAGTAGGCCTTCTTTGCACATGTCCAAACCACTGTAACCGATTTTCTCTCCTCTTTCCTTCAATTTCGGCTACTCCTACTTTACCTCGGATATCCTCATTCCTAATCTTATCCTTTCTTGTGTGCCCACACATCCAACGAAGCATCCTCATCTCCACTACACCTACGTGTTGATGCTTCACCGCCCAACATTCTATACCATACAGCATTGCCGACCTTATTGCCGTCTTATAAAATTTTCTCTTGAGCTTCAGTGGCCTACGACGGTCACACAACACGCCGGATGCACTCTTCCACTTCATCCATCCAGCTTGTATTCTATGGGTGAGATCTCCATCAAATTCTCCGTTCTTTTGCAAGATAGATCCTAGGTAGCGAAAACGGTCGCTCTTTGGTATTTCCTGATCTCCGATCCTCACCCCTAACTCATTTTGGCCTCCGTTTGCACTGAACTTGCACTCCATATATTCTGTCTTTGGTCAGCTTAGGCGAGGACCTTTAGATTCCAACACTTCTCTCCAAAGGTTAAGCTTCGCGTTTACCCCTTCCTACGTTTCATCTATCAACACTATATCGTTTGCGAAAAGCATACACCAAAGAATATCATCTTAAATATTAAGTTTGTGATCTTCGCTAGATTGCTCCGGTCATTAGTGTGGATAAGTATGTAAATGGATAGAGACAGGAAGCAAACATAAGATGTACGTGGTTCACCCAGATTGGCTACGTCCACGGAGTAAAGGAGTTCTCATTAATTGTGAAGGGTTTACACAGGATATAGGTTCAAGCTCTCCTTTAGTGAGTACAAGTGAATGATTTAGTACAAATGACATTAGGAAATATTGTGGAAGAATGATCTCGTAATCACGAAACTTTTAAGTACCGAAGTGTGGTATCGTCTTCACTTGCCTTATCTGTCTCATAGGTAGATGTGACATCTTCTTTGGAAGTACTCTTCCTCCCTCCAGGGGTGGTATCTTTAACTGGTGGAGATGCACAAGGTAATGTATCAATTTCACTTGACGTTTACTTGTAGTTTCAGGCTTGGTCAAGCGCGATACAAACCATGTAGTAGGAGTCCCCCAAGTCGCCGAGCTAGGGGATCTGCTGAAAGAGGTGACAGACAAGGTAAGCAATCAGAGCTCCAAGCAATCAGTCCCAGATTAGAAGTTTGATTTCGAGTTCCGGCTGATTGTTATCCTTTTCCTTATCTTGCAGGTAACATGAAGGATAAAGAGAAGAAAAGGAGAAAAGGGGATATGAGATACTTTTGCTTTTGAAGAAGTAACTCTCCACAGGCTTATTCTTGAACTGGGCTGGAGGGTTTTCTTGTTTCCGCCAGAGTATAAGGCCGACTGAAGAATTTGAGGGTCAAAACAAGTCCATCAAATCTAGAGTACGTTCGACCCTGCTGATATGGGATACTTTTGCTGTTGACAAAGTAGTGGATGTATCGGCACATGTTCTGTTGCGCTTGTCTCCACATGCTTCCTTGTATCCTTCTCACTTGCCCTATTTGTTCCTCAAGCAGATGTGGTATCTTCTCGGGAAGCATAAGATGTTGAAGATGAGTACTCGAGAGCAATGGGGTTCCAGGCAGTCAGTTCCGGACTGGAAGCTTGATTCCAAGTGCTGACTGATTGCTCTCTTTCTCCTTGTTTTGCAGGTAAGAACAAGGCCAAAGGAAAAGACAGGGAAAAAGCATGATATGGGATACTCTTGCTTTTAACCCTGATGATATGAGATATTCTTGCTCTAGTGTAGCTTGTTTGCAGAGGTATTCTCGGGGGGAAAGAAAGCTGAGTATTTCGAGAGGCTTCGTTGGGAGTGCCCTCTCAGATATGAGGAAGGGTTGAGCATTTTTGCAGGTCTGCCTGTCCGTTGAGGATGGAGGTCGACATATATAGGAGTCTCCCTAACAAGGAGTAATACTATTCTTTTACCCTGCTTGGTCATAGCACGGTAGTGGGAGCTGCCAGCTTCACGTGTTTTAACTCTGTCAGAGCACTTTGAAAAAGTGGTCTGTGGTATCTGGAAAGCTGATGTTACGTGTGAAGATTACAGACAAGCTTTATCCAAGGAGATTTGGCTCTCGAAGTTGAGAAAGCGGTGTGAGGATTACAGACAAGCTTTATCTAAGGGGCTCTCGAAGTTGAGAAAGCGGTGCTCTTCGGTTTTCGAACAAGCAATCCTGTCGGGGATCTGTCTCTCGAGATTCGGAGAACGGTGCCTCTTCGATTTTTGAGAAAGCAATCCTGCTAGGAGTCTGGCTCTCGAGATTCGGAGAGCGGTGTCTCGTCGCTTTTTGAGAAAGTAATCATGTTGGGAGTCTGGCTCTCGAGATTCGGAGGACGGTGCCTTTTCGATCTTGAAGCAAACAATCTTATTGGGAGTGTTTTCTCGAATGTGAGTAAAGGTTAGGCCTATTTGCTAGTCTACCTTGCCACGGAGCACAGAGGTTGACCCACAGGGACTTTCCAATTATCCAGCAATGGTCCTGTTCCTTTACCCTTGTGGGTAATAATATGGTAGCTAGACCTTCAAAATTTATGTGTCTAAACTTTGTTAGTGCTGTTTCTTTGCTATTCTTTTACCCTTCTTGGTTATAGCGATGTAATGGGAGCTACAAGCTTCACGTGTCTAAACTTTGTCAGAGATTTTTGGCAAAGTTATCTGTGGTACCCGTGAGCTGATGTTGCGTGTGGAAAGTGAATGATTGAACAGTAACATTCACGTGCTTTCTACTTCACTAGAAATCTTCGACAGAATGCCCGTAATTTCCGCAAAGTTGAGTGTGCATGTGACAGGTTCTGACAAGGCTGAAAAAGCAGGTGCCTCTTCGATTTCTGAGATCGGCCCTCGTGGTCTCTGAGCAGCCCAGCTTTTGAGAAAGCAAGCGCCTCTTCGATTTCTGCGATCGACCTTCGTGGTCTTTGAGCAGCCCAGCTTTTGAGAAAGCAAACGCCTCTTCGATTCCTGAGATCGGCCCTCGTGGTCTCTGAGCAGCCCAGCTTTTGAGAAAGCAAACCCCTTTTCAATTTCTGAGCAGGCGCCTCTTCGATTTCTGAAGCTCCATCGAGTGCGGATTTTTATAGAGGCTGGTATTAAGTTCCAAAGCACACTTGAATCTCCACCAGTAGAAGCTCCCTTCTTGCATTTCTAAGATCTTGATTTGTCCGACCTCTTTTCTCTTCAACACCTTTGAAAATGTCTGGCCCCTCCAACCGTCGTTTTGACTTGAACCTTGTTGAAGAGGCAGCCACACCTTCTCCAGACAACATATGGCGCCCATCCTTCTTATCCCCTACTGGTCCTCTTACCGTTGGGGATTCCGTGATGAAGAATGATATGACCGCTGCGGTGGTGGCCATGAACCTTCTCACTCCCAAAGATAACAGACTACTTTCCAAACGGTCTGATGAGTTGGCTGTTAAGGATTCTCTGGCTCTCAGTGTTCAGTGTGCAGGTTCTGTGTCTAATATGGCCCAACGCCTATTTGCTCGAACCCGCCAAGTTGAATTATTGGCGGCTGAAGTGATGAGTCTCAAACAGGAGATTAGAGGGCTCAAGCATGAGAATAAACAGTTGCACCGGCTCGCTCATGACTATGCTACAAACATGAAGAGGAAGCTTGACCAGATGAAGGAATCTGATGGTCAGATTTTACATGATCATCAGAGGTTTGTGGGTTTGTTCCAAAGGCATTTATTGCCTTCGTCTTCTGAGGCTGTACCGCGTAATGAAGCTCCAAATGATCAACCTCCGATGCCTCCTCCTTCTAGGGTGCTGTCCAGTACTGAGGCTCCGAATGATCCCCCTCCGGTGCCTTCTCTTTCTGGGGCTCTGCCGACTGCTGAGACTTCTCCTAAGCAACCTTTGTGAAGGCTTCCTCTTGTTTTTTTATTTTGACTCGTGTATATGTACATATTTGTAACTTCTTAGAGATATCAATAAATAAGCTTTGTTTCATTTCAACGTATTGTGTTAAATACACCAAAGTCTTCTTCACTAAGTTCTTTGAATTTTTCTTTTGTTAAGCTTGTATGTTGAAGCTTTGTGAGTGGAGCATGTAGGTTGAGGTATTGTTCCCTTAATTTCCCGAGTAGGGAAAACTTCTCGATTGGAGACTTGAAAAATCCAAGTCACTGAGTCGGGTCGGCTATATGAATCTTAGAACGCCATTGTGCTCGATCCTGTGTCATGTCCTCCGTTAGATCCAAGTACTCTAAGTCTTTTCTTAGAGTCTCTTCCAAAGTTTTTCTAGGTCTTCCTCTACCCCTTCGGCCCTGAACCTCTGTCCCGTAGTCGCATCTTCTAACCGGAGCGTCAGTAGGCCTTCTTTGCACATGTCCAAACCACCGTAACCGATTTTCTCTCAGTTTTCCTTCAATTTCGGCTACTCCTACTTTACCTCGGATATCCTCATTCCTAATCTTATCCTTTCTCGTGTGCCCACACATCCAACGAAGCATCCTCATCTCCGCTACACCCATTTTGTGTACGTGTTGGTGCTTCACCGCCCAACATTCTGTGCCATACAGCATCGCCGGCCTTATTGCCGTCCTATAAAATTTTTCCTTAAGTTTCAGTGGCATACGACGATCACACAACACGCCGGATGCACTCTTCCACTTCATCCATCCAGCTTGTATTCTATGGTTGAGATCTCCATCTAATTCTCCGTTCTTTTGCAAGATAGATCCTAGGTAGCGAAAACGGTCGCTCTTTGGTATTTCCTGATCTCCGATTCTCACCCCTAACTCATTTTGGCCTCTATTTGCACTGAACTTGCACTCCATATATTCTATCTTTGATCGGCTTAGGCGAAGACCTTTAGATTCCAACACTTCTCTCCAAAGGTTAAGCTTCGCATTTACCCATTCCTGAGTTTCATCTATCAACACTATATCGTCTGCGAAAAGCATACACCAAGGAATATCATCTTGAATATGTCCTGTTAACTCATCCATTACCAACGCAAAAAGGTAAGGACTTAAGGATGAGCCTTGATGTAATCCTACAGTTATGGGGAAGCTTTCGGTTTGTCCTTCATGAGTTCTTACGGCAGTCTTTGCTCATTCATACATATCCTTTATAGCTTGGATATATGCTACTCGTACTCCTTTCTTCTCTAAAATCCTCCAAAGAATGTCTCTTGGGACCCTATCATACGTTTTTTTCCAAATCTATAAAGACCATGTGTAAATCCTTTTTCCCATCTCTATATCTTTCCATTAATCTTCGTAAGAGATAGATTGCCTCCATGGTTGAGCGCCCTGGCATGAACCTGAATTGGTTGTCCGAAACCCGTGTCTCTTGTCTTAATCTATGCTCAATGACTCTCTCCCAGAGCTTCATTGTATGACTCATTAGCTTAATACCCCTATAGTTCATGCAATTTAGTACGTCGCCCTTATTCTTGTAAATAGGCACCAAGGTGCTCTTTCGCCACTCGTTTGGCATCTTCTTCGTTTTCAAAATCCTATTGAAAAGGTCAGTGAGCCATGCTATACCTGTCTCTCCCAAGGCTTTCCACACTTCAATCGGTATATCGTCCGGGCCCACTGCTTTTCTATGCTTCATCTTCTTCAAAGCTACAACCACTTCTTCCTTCCTGATTCGACGATAAAAGGAGTAGTTTCTATACTCTTCTGAGTTACTCAACTCCCCTAAAGGAGTACTCATTTCATGTCCTTCATTGAAAAGATTATGAAAATAACCTTTCCATCTGTCTTTGACCGCGTTCTCTGTAGCAAGAACCTTTCCATCCTCATCCTTGATGCACCTCACTTGGTTTAGGTCCCTTGTCTTCTTTTCCCTTGCTCTAGCTAGTTTATAGATATCCAACTCTCATTCTTTGGTATCAAGTCGCTTATACATATCGTCATAAGCCGCTAACTTAGCTTCTCTCACAGCTTTCTTCGCCTCTTGCTTCGCTCTTCTATACCTTTCACCATTTTCATCGGTCCTATCCTTGTATAAGGCTTTACAACATTCCTTCTTAGCCTTCACCTTTGTTTGTACCTCCTCATTCCACCACCAAGATTCCTTTTGGTGTGGAGCAAAGCCCTTGGACTCTCCTAATACCTCTTTTGCTACTTTTAGGATACAGCTAGCCATGGAATCCCACATTTGGCTAGCTTCCCCCTCTCTATCCCACACACACTGGGTGATTACTTGCTCTTTGAAAATGACTTGTTTTTCTCCTTTTAGATTCCACCATCTAGTCTTTGGGCACTTCCAAGTCTTGTTCTTTTTTCTCACTCTTTTGATATGTACATCCATCACCAACAAGCGATGTTGATTAGCCAAGCTCTCCCCCGGTATAACTTTGCAATCCTTACAAGTTATACGATCCCCTTTCCTCATTAGAGGAAAATCTATTTGTGTTTTTGACGACCCACTCTTGTAGGTGATCACATGTTATTCTCTCTTCTTAAAGAAGGTGTTGGCTAAGAAGAGATCATATGCCATTGCAAAATCCAAGATAGCTTCCCCATCCTCATTTCTCTCCCCAAAACCATGGCCACCATGAAAACCTCCATAGTTGCCTGTCTCCCTGCCCACGTGTCCATTTAAATCTCCTCCTATAAATAACTTCTCCGTCTGAGCAATTCCTTGCACCAAGTCTCCAAGGTTTTCCCAAAATTTCTCTTTCGAACTCGTATCCAACCCTACTTGAGGTGCGTACGCACTAATCACATTGATGAGTTCTTGTCCTATTACAATCTTGATTGCCATGATTCTATCTCCTACCCTCTTGACATCTACAACATCTTGTGTCAAGGTCTTGTCCACAATGATGCCAACACCGTTTCTCGTTCTATTTGTGCCCGAATACCAAAGCTTAAACCCTGAGTTTTCTAGATCCTTTGCCTTAAGACCAACCCACTTAGTTTCTTGTAGGCACATAATATTTATCCTTCTCCTCACCATAACTTCCACTACTTCCATAGATTTTCCCGTTAAGGTTCCTATATTCCACGTTCCTAAACGCATTCTACTCTCTTGAACTCTACCCTTTTGTCCTAGCTTCTTCACCATCCCCCGTCTAATAGGATCAAAGTACTTCTTTTGTGTGTCTTGTGTAAAGTTGATAGGAGCATATGCTCCCAAACAACTTTGAGTGGAGTCGTTCGAAAAGAAGTTTCTATGGCCCCCTTGCTCATTTAACACTGCATCCGGGTGCCGATGGAGATACAGCGACCCTTGCTCACTTATCACTGTGCTCGGGCCACACAGCGCGCCACTTACAGGTGACGTCCTAGCTTTAGCGCGATTTCGTTCTGGATTCATTGTCATAAGGATTCGACGTAACTGTGGAGTGCCGGCTGTCGACTACCTAACGCCCTCCCCCTCCTCCTTTATCCGGGCTTGGGACCGGCAATGTAAGATAAACTTACATCGGCGGAGTTCGACTCAAGTTCAAATAAAAAAGGAAAATTAGTTGGAGATTATATATCTGTTGCTGTATCATGCTTTCTTTACCATGTTGGTTCATGTTTTCCTTTACTCGTATCCTGTTTTAGTTTCTCTTGAGTTGTATTATTCAAGAACATCCAGAAACACAAGAATATGAACAATCCACCCAAACCTCACTCTGTTTTGTTAGAGACTTAAGTGGTGTTCCAACTTATAACAAATCTTAATTAAAAACATAATCATTTCTGTTTTGTTAGAAAAGATTTAACTAATTAATACTCTACTTGTAAAGAACACTTGGACATTACAAACCAAACGAATCACTTTAGAATATATGTCAACTTGTGATTTGTAGTGTTTTATTCAATTTAAGACGAGAACAGAGTAATAGTACACATTCACACAAGGATATACAACATACAATACAAGTGCCACATTATTAATTAACTACACCATAAGAACAAGAAACAGGTGTCTTCCCCAATCCTCCGTTAATTTTTTTCTTAATTTTAAGAAAATTTCACGGGGACAAGGTTGAGAGGAGTTCTCTTAGCAACGGTGAGGGAATGGGAGCCGCTGGCTTCTTCCATGTCAAGATCTTCCTCCTTCATTCCATCAGGCAATTTCCAATCGAACCAGTAGAGAAGATTTGCTAGTCCAAGCTCCACTGTTGTCGTTCCCATATATATTCCAGGGCAAACTCTTCGACCAGTTCCAAACGGTAAAAACTCAAAATGTTGTCCTTTGTAATCGACGGAGCTTCCCTCAAACCGTTCTGGAATAAATTTTTCGGGGTCCCTCCAAACCTCAGGGTCGCGTGCGATTGCCCAATCATTGATATAAATTGTTGTTTTTGGTTCAATATTATAACCTTGGATTTTGCAATGGGAGATAGTTTCTCTTGGAAGGAGCATTGGAGCTGGAGGATGCAGTCTTAGGGTTTCTTTGATTACCATCTTGAGGTATTGAAGCTGATCTGTATCAGTTTCTGTGATTTTTCCTTTGTTTCCGATGCATTTTCTAACTTCTTCTTGTGCTTTCTTCATCAATTTAGGGTTCTTAGCTAGCTCTGCCATCGCCCACCCCATTGTTATTGTACCTGTGTCTATTCCACCTAAAAATAGATTCTGATTCACAATTGCAACATCATAGTAAGAAAAATAATTGAAAAATAAAGTAGAAAAATGATGCATAAAAAAATAATTGATGAATTTCGCACTACTTTTCTCTGTGTGCATACCATGTTTACTTTTTTATTTTTTATTTTTTTTTATATTATTATTTTTTATTGGAAAACATACCATGTTTACTTTTGTTCTTTTATTCTTGCGACAAAATGGGACATGAACTAAATTTTTTCCTTTCCTTTTTTCACAAAACTGGACAAATAATTTTTTGGGGTTATAAAAGAATAACTTTTACTGTTTTCTAAATGGGCACTAATTAAGGAGTCACTTAACACTAAAGTTTAGTTATATTCTTTTTCACTTGTATATGAAAAGTCTTAGATTCAATTATCGCCAACGCCGAATTTGAATCAAATAATTACTAGTCTATTGTGAGACTCGGCCTACTTCCTCGCTTCCTTATAGATAATATGGTTGGTTCCAAAAAATAGAAAGGCACCAAGGGGAAAGGGGTTCAAACTTTTGTCTGCATATAAAATAATTCTCAAACAAATAACAAATTAACACAAAATTAATAACCACAAGAGGTTCTTTTAAGAGAATAATTACCAAGAGGACTGCCTTGATGTTGTTGTGACCAAGATGAGAGGCTCCAAACTCACTTTGCTCCTTCACTATCTTAAGCAGAACGTCAACTATATCTTCATGAGCTCGTTCGTCGTCAACTCTCCTCCCAGGTTTCAGATGATCATCAATCACCTGCTGGAAAAAACCATCCAACTCCTTGGAAATCCTATCGAACTCCTTGTGCGCACCGGAAACCATATCGATAACCCACCCCATCCAAGACGGAAAGCAGTCAGCCCCGGACACCCCTCCGAGCATGACCTCAGTATCCTGAATGAACTCATCAATATTTTTATGCTCAAATTTACTCCCTCGGAAACTTGTCCCGTAACCAATCCTAAAAATAATACTAGCCGTGAGAGCAAGCAACTTTTCCGTAAGATTAACAGGAGCACCAGAAGATGAAGAGGCAGAGATTGAATTGACCATTTCATCTACTTCTTCTTCCCTGATTGATTTATATGACTGGACCCTCTTCACGCTGAAAAGCTCGAGCACGCATATTTTTCTTATCTCTCTCCAGTAATCGCCATAGGGAGAAAAGGCCATGTCAAGATAGTTGTACGTGAGCCTGCGGGTTCCGGCCGAGGAGGGTCTGCTGCAGCAGTGGAGGTCGTTGGTTTTTAATGCGTCTTTGGCCGCTTCGGCGGAAGAGATGACTAGGGTGGGGACACGGCCGAGGTGGAGGAGCATGACTGGTCCGTACTTTATGGAGAGTTGGTGGAGAGATTTGTGACGTGGGGTGCCGAGTTGGTGCAAGTTGCCTATGAGGGGGAGCTTGGGGGGGCTTGGTGGAAAGGTCTTTTGCTGTGGGTTCTTATAGACATTTTTCCGCTTTTGGAGTAGAAGAAATAGAGGGAGAAGAAGGAGAAATGGAAGGCATATGAACAAGGAGGTGATGATAGCCATTGGAGGTTCTATCAATGATATGTTATTATTTTTCTGGAGCTTTTGTCCACCATATATAAGCTCTGGTGATCTAAATATCTAGCTATATATGGCTAACTTTGGAAACAAACGACAAAGTAGTATTTCAACGTCGATGAAAATTATCACTCATGTAGATTGTCGTAGGCAAGGTTCTAAAGGATGTTAGGCGCTAGTTGGGCGACGGGCTGGGGCCTAGCGCCTAGATGGCTAGGCAGGGCCTAGGCGGGCGCCTAAGCTAACTAGACGGGTTTAATTAAATATATTATATTTCGTGTAAGTAAGTGTCTGTTTATACTTAAAAAATATATAATTTCATCATAACCTACAAAATAGAATGACAAATATATTATGAGCTATCGGAACATAATGAAAACATGGGGAACAAACATATAATGTGTGTTCATTTAAGTATTCAACAAGTCTCTTACAATTTATTGGAAAAAATAAAATGCAAAATGAAAGTTATTATTTTCTGTTTAAGTGAGTAACAACTTAGGCGGGTCTGACGGGCTAGGTGGGTGCCTAGGCAGTCTAGATAGGAGCCTTAGTAGGTCTAGGCGCCATTTCTTAACAACTTTTTAGTTATGTCTGTAGCCCTCTAGATTTATTTTGGATAACTTATGATAGTACCGATCGGTGGATGGATAGCAATCCATATCCTTCAATTAATTAGATTCATGTGGAGAAATCTCAAAAAAAAAATTAAAAAAATAGAACACAACAGATGCAAGATACATCTCTCTTCCTCTTTCTCAACCATATTGTTTTATATGGACGCAAACAACTTTTTATTTATGTATGTAGTCTACTGGATCTTGTTTTGACAAACTCATTATAGCATTCATATTGATCGGTTAATGGATAAGCATTATGCATGCTGCTGGTGCAAACAACTTTCTATTTATGTTTGTAGTCTAGTGAATCTTGTTTTGACAAACTCATGATAGTACTCTTATAAATTGATCGGTTAATAGATATGCATTATGCATGTTACTAGTGCAAACAACCTTTTATTTATGTTTGTATTCTATTGAATCTTGTTATGACAAACTCATGATAATACTCCTATATATTGAGGGGTTGATGGATAAGCGTGCTGCTGGCGCAAACAATTTTTTATTTATGTCTCCATTCCACTCAATCATTTTTTGACAAACTCAAAATAATATCTTAATCGGTTAATAGATAAGCATTATGCATACTGCTGGGGCAAACAACTATTTATTTATGTCTGTAGTCTACTAGAATTCTGTTTTGACAAGCTCATGATAGTACTGTTAACGATTAATTGATGGTTAAGCATTATGCATGCTAATGGGCACAAACAACTTTCTATTTTGTGTCTCCAATTCCCTGAATCAATTCTGTTTTAACGAACTCATAATATTACTCTTATTAATATGTTTACTATGGATAAGGATTATACATGCGCGGCCAGGAAGCAAAATTCCCGCAAATATCTCCAGCCAACTTATCAGGCAGCTAACAGAACTCCTTTTGCTTTCATGGAATGAAAGTTGAAACCCATCCATCATATATGAGCATTCAACCAAAAACTTCATGCCAGTGCCAGCTGCAGTATTATGGCAGTTACATTATAATCCAACGGTTCCAATTAATGTAAGATGTGACATGCAGATAATACAAAAGAGAGATTTGGAGTTTTATAGTGTTAGTAATTAGGTCGGCCAATAAAATTATGAACCCACTGGCGGGTTATTCCATTATTGCTTGCGGAAAGTCTGCTAAGCTTCAACTAACTTATATGATAGAGTTTCCTTAGCAGTTCTCGATAAAGAAACGTTCTTGCCGAGAACATGATCTCGACGTTTCTTGACATGCTCGAACATGGGTTTTACCCGAATGAGTATTGCTTTGCATCTGTGATTCGGGCGTGTTCGAATGCCCGGAATATTGGGATTGGGAAGATAATTTTTGGGTCGGTGATCAAGGGTGGGTTTCTTGGGTCTGATGTGTGTGTTGGGTGTTCATTGATCGATATGTTTGCGAAGGGTGGTGGAGATTTGGGTGAAGCGTATAAGGTGTTTGAGGAAATGCCTGAGACGGATGCGGTGACGTGGACTTTGATGATTACTAGGTTTGCACAGATGGGTTTCCCCAGAGAGGCTATTGGTTTGTATGTGGATATGTTGTTGAGTGGGTTCATGCCTGACCAGTTTGCACTAAGTGGTGTTATATCGGCGTGTACAAAGTTGGAATCACTTTCACTGGGCCAGCAATTGCATTCGTGGGTTATACGGTCTGGATTGGCTTTAGGTCATTGTGTCGGGTGTTGTTTGGTGGACATGTATGCCAAGTGTGCAGCTGATGGATCGATGAATGATGCAAGGAAGGTATTTGGTCGGATGCCAAACCATAATGTTATGTCATGGACTGCAATTATCAATGGATATGTGCAGAGCGGAAAGGGTGATGAGGAAGCCATCAAACTCTTTGTTGAAATGATGTCAGGTCATGTTCCACCGTGACGTCCTTGCTTACCTTTTCTTTACGAAAATTACTATTCTAAAATTCCCGTCTAGTGCCGGCTAGGTGGCTGGTCACCACCTTGATTAATGCATATGCGTTTAAAAATTAAGAAATGATGTCTAAACCTGCTGAGGCGCCCTCCTAGACTACCTATGCACCCGCCTAGCCCTCCCAGACCCGTCTAGACACCTGTCTAGGTTGCAACTCACTTAGATAAAAAATAGATAACTTTTCTTTTTTATTGTTTCCAATAAATTGTAAGAGACTTAATGAACACTTAAATAAACACACATTATATGTTTGCTCCTCATGTTTTCATTATGTTCCATTACTTCATAATATATATGTCATTCTATTTTCTAGTTTATGATGAAATTATATATATTTTAAGTATAAACAGACACTTATTTACCTGAAATACAATAGATTTACTTAAATGCACATAGTCCACCTAGGCACTTGCCTAAGCTCCGTCTAGCCACCTAGGCGCTAGGCCCCAGTCCGTGGCCCGACTAGCACTTAGCGTCTTTTAAAACCTTGCGAAAATGTTATCTAGGAAGTGTGCCAAGAAGCAGCTCGCTATATTATTAACTCTCATAATACAAATAGTTAGAAGAAAAAAATTTAAATATCCAACTATTTATATTACAATATTTAATACGTTGAACCGTGTTCTTAGCACACTACAAATTCTCTATTTATCTAGATCGCGCTAGATGGTCAGAGTGATGAAACTTGAAGCCAAAAACTCCGACCAGTGCCTAGTGGAGTAGAAAATGTCGAAGAAAATTATGCAAGAAAGTTGAAACGGTGGACTCACGTCAAAAATGGTTTTTGTCGTAGTCCTAAACACGTGTAGCATACCACAGAAAATTCCACAAAGTTCTATCCTTTTCGTGCTAAATAAGCAGACCAAATGTAATCAAGGAGAACATTTTTAACATTTTTAATGTACTCTGAGCACAGTACGCCCCATATTATTAAATATAATCAGTAGGACACCTAAAAAAAAAATTCTCTAATTTTATAATGACATATAACGTACCACCTCCTATTCTGGACGTACTGAAAAATTTATCATCATCAAGTTTGATTTCGTTAAAATGAACCGTACCAGGAACTTTTCGTTAAAGTTCTTTTTTTTTCTTATCTAAACTAATATAAAATGGAGTATGTATGATTATTAGTTGTCATGTATATTATTTAAAGGGGTGTGCTATCCACACACCTTATTTTACTTTTCACACACCTCTTGATAATTTTTGTCTGTTGATCTTCTTTAATTCATCCGATCCGACGACCGAAAATTAAAAAGATATGTGAGAAATAAAATAGGGTGTGTGAATATCACACCCCTATTTAAAATACATATTAATGAAATCTTTTTTGTTAATCAAAAGAGAATGAAAATACATTTTTGTCTTCTATCATAACAAAAAAGTTAAAGACAGTAATTTCATAAATAAAAATTTTACTATTTTTTGTTTAACTTTAAGTCTCATCTACATATGATTTTATCATATCTAATTTAATAAAAAATTAAAATAAAAAAAACTAACTTCTCTCCCACTCTCCCCACTCCCACGCTCTCTCTCAATCTCTTCTTATCTCCTTCAATTTTAAAACAAAAGTAAAAAAATTTACACGCACTTTATATGTGGGCATATAAATTAGTATTTATTAACAAAACTCTCTTTATCATAAAAAAATAAAAAAAACAATTTGATCTTTTATTCACAATTTAACAAAACTATAAAAAAAAACACAGGGGCATTAAAATAAATTTCAAACAAAAAGGAGTTTTATTTTTATTTTTTATCTTTCCTCACATGGGCATTAAAATAAATTTCACTCTATCTTTACCTCACGTCTCTCTTCTTAACTGCACAAACCCATGCAAAAAAAAAAAAAAAACAGCTCTCACATACAGTGTGTGGATTTAGACTAGTTAAAGGATAGTGTTTTTCACATCTTCTTGTTAATTTTTGTTCATTTATCTTCTGCAGTTCATTTGATCAAATAACCAAAAATTATGATGGGTGTGTAAAAGATAAAAATAAGTGTGTAAATATCACTATTCTAATTAAATCTTAACATATCATTAATTATTTAATAAAAACATATCACATCACTCGAATGCAAATGGACAATTTCATCCATAAAAGTAAATGATTATTTTTCAAATATGGGCTCTTTAAGTCAAATTGATCATTATAAGAATTTTGATAATAAGAATAAAATGGTGTTGAATAAGTATTTATTTGGAAAATGTTTTTAGAAAAAAATATTTTTAAATTTAAAAAACACTTAAAACGCATGATGCAAATATTAGTGTAGTTGTTGTAATCCACAAAATTAGAAGGATTCAGACTTTTATATTGATTGTAGAAAAAGAATTCACAGAATTCATTTTATTATTCTCCATGAACATGCATTCATAAATCTTATTCTACACTTCTCAAATGTATTTTTCTTTCGAATTATAAAAAATTTGAAGTGTTAAATAAGATTTTTAAAGTGTCAATAACAATTCCCTTTAGATAATATATATAT